AATTAAACGAAGTGTGATCTAGCAGCATTTGCATCTTCACTTTCCACAGAAAGCCCTATTGTAAGCGGTGTCCTACAAGGTACCGTTTTAGGTCCTCTTTTGTTCTTGCTTTACATAAATGATATTTCAGCAGCAGTTAAACATTCTCAATCATTTATTTATGCCGATGATCTCAAATGTGTATATTCTTTCAAAAACTCTACGAGCCTTCATTGCCTTGAGCAAACCCATGCTGACTTGCTTGCTCTCTCAGCTTGGAGCTCAAAATGGCTAATGGAATTCTCTCCGTCTAAATGTCGTTATATGTGTTTTGGACCTGATAGGCTACCCCAACCAGTGGTCTTTCAAGGCACACCTATGACTGAATGTACCACCATCAAGGATTTAGGTTTAAGCTACACTAGTAATCTTGATCTCTCGCCGCACGCTGACAGAATTACAGCCAAAGCTGCCCAGATTTGTGGCCTTATTTCTTACAATTTCTATCTTCCTGAAATTAAATTAAGGCTCTATCGTATGTTTGTACTTCCCATTCTCGAGTATTCTTGCCCATTCTTTGGTTTTATGAATGAAGCCAGTCGTTTAAAAATTGAAAATGTCCAAAGACGTTTTTCTAAAAACTTTTAGACAGGGAATATCCCAATATCTCCTAGTCAGATAGATGCCAGCTAATTAATCTAAAAATTTTATGGGTTCGAAGACTAGAAGCGGGCTTCTGTCTCCTCTTTCGCATTAATCATAGTTCAAATTTTTCTCGGATTTCAACACTTACCCCTAGTAGTCGCCCATACAATCTTCGCAATTCGTCTCTAATTATATTTCCTCCAGCGTCCTCCATCTCTAAGCGCTCCCTTTTTTTCGCTTCCAGGTATACTTTCCTCTGGAATAACCTTCCAATAAATATAAGATCTTCAGAAAATCTACACACCTTTAAGAGAAGGTTACGCCTTTATCTGAATACTGACTGGATTAAACTTTTATTTTCCTCATCCTTCCCAAACAACTTATTGTATGACACTTAGAAAGGGCCACCGGGAATTTAGCATGCCGCTATTAAATTTCCGTATCTGTTCACGTTTCCTTCCTTTATGAGTAGTCTCGCTACCTAAGATCCCTCACCAGAAATGTTAATTATTCCAATTTTTCAGTTCATACATCGTGCCCTCACAGAATGCGCACCATCGATGCTCTTGGCGAAACCTTCTGTATTCGCCAGATACTAGTAGTCTAGTCGCATCTCGCTTACCCCATCCTCGGTTGCACTCGGATGAATGTAACCGACCGCATCTGGGTTCCTATCGCCTCGAGACTGATTTTCATGGTGCCCTCACAGAATGCGCTCCATCGACGCTCTTGACAAAGCCTTCTATATTCGCCATATACTAGTAGTTTGGTCGCATCTCCCCACATGTTCGGATGGTCTCGGTTGAATGTAACCGACCGCATCTGGGTTCCTATCAGCTCGAGACTGGTTTTCAATTTCGCCACTTATTTTTCTTATTCAAGGCGATACAGGCCAGTCCTGACCGACCCGCCTACGTACCATTTTATGAAATCCGTTACACAATGCCATATACAGCTGACATTTATTTCGGCCATGTTGATGTCAGACTATATTCCATTCTGTACCGCCACATGCAGGCCAGTCCTCCCTGCATTTTTCTGATGCTATTTTTAAGGTTTTTTTTCTCCTGTTAAATTACTACAATTATTTTTAAATTTTGCCTTGGAGTTTTTTTTTCACCCCTCGTTTTTCATTTTGCATAATGGACATCGAATCTCAAAAACTATGTATTGCATTTTCTACAGATTTTGCCTACCTCGCCTAAAATTCGCATGTAAATTTATTTTTACCTGCGTTGTTGGGACCCCGACGGGTCTTTAATAAAAATAATTGAATTGAATTGAATTTGATATTCCTAGGTAAATTGTTGCAAATTGTATTTGTGTTCAAAGAAAATAACTGACGTTATTTATCCGTATGTGCCAGAGGAAAAAACAAAAAGATCCCACGGTGACTGTTACGTCGGAGGTGAACATGATGCCTTAAGTTAGTGAGTGGGATAAGGTGCGATCATATAAAAGCTTAAATAACAAAATAGTAATCTACGGAACCATAAAGGATCAAGACCTGTATGCCGGCAACGTTCTTGGTAAGGCAAATATCGGTGTTCCAGGGTTAAAACTCTCTTGGTAAAATGTGTTGAACGGATTCTATTTTCCTCCGTTCAAAAGCACGCATGAGGCTAAATAAATACGAACATAATTCCAGACCATGCCTAACGCACATATTTTAAATGTGCATTCTAATGTCACTAGTTTTAAAGTTTCGGAGGATAAACCCGGTCGTTCTACGTGCTTTGGAGACTATCAGGAAGCAGTGCTGCGGAAGATTAAGACTCTTGAAATACGATACATCCGGATTCCTATTAACTTCAGGCACATTTATGTCGCGATCGTCATTTTTTAGTTGAGGCTGGTGGTCGTCGTCAACCACCATCAGTTTCTAGAACTGCCCCGGTCAATGCGTGGATGGTCGGAAGCGGTGTGGTCGAGTTTTCAATAAACGTTTTGGACAGGAAATCATTGAAGCTATCAGCAGTTATCTGGGCATCAACTATAGGATTTCCGAGGGCGTCTCGTAGGGTGGGATGCTGCGTCTTTCTTTTAGTTTGTACTTTTCGGGTGTAAAGTTTCGACACATTTGACGAACGGTTTTCAATTAATTGGACGTCTTCGGCTAAGTGTTTTGCATTAGACAGTCTCTTAGCCCGCTCAAAAATATCACAAATCAAGGGCATGACAGGAACTTCGTTCTGAAGATGGAATCGACGAGAAAGTCTGCGCAATCTGCAACGAAAAGGTAAGGGTGGCAAAACCTCATCCACAGCATTACTAATTTTCTTAAGGGGGACAAAACGAGAAATTAGCGGATCCAAAATTTCGTACACTTTTGCAGTGCAAATTTAATGTCTGTAAGGTTAATATTGCAAGAATTTTGCCTGATATCTGGGCATCTTTGGCTGTAACTCTTTTAGGCGATTTGCGAGATATTTTGATTATTGCTTTAGCTTGATTGTGGCACAGTCAGTCATTAGTGTGCCTTGAAAAACCACTGAATGGCATAGCCTTTCCTGTTCAGAACACATATGGCGTCATCTAGGTGGAGAGAATTCCAGTAGCTATTTCGAGCTCCGCGCATATAGAGCAAATAAATTGGCATGGATTTGGCCCAAGAAATGTTGGATCGTAGACTTGGTGAATGAATCAGTTCAGTTCAGTTTTTTTGAGAGAAATGTAGGTCTTCACATTTGAACTCCCTATTTGTTTACCAAAAACTGCAAAATCTCAAAAACTGGAAAAGTTATCAGAAGGGTAGTAAATAATCGGAAAAGCGTCAGCTCCGTACAGACAAACAAACTGTCTCGAATGTTAGTGGTACGAGCAGATGTACAACGGTCGTTTCAAGTGCACGGAAACGAATAATATACCCGGTGACAAAAGTTGCATAGGTGTATGTCAGTAAGTGTGGGCGATGGGTTGGAGATAATAATAAATTCAATTCACAAATGTTACTGAATTACAGCTAGTAGTATCACAACAACGGGCTTTGTCAAGGTTACAGAGATCGGGTGGTAATTTAGTGGACACTGCTATACAAATCCAGCTTCCCCTTAAAGACCTCGACGGAAGCAGACATAACGACATCCACAGGAAGGGCGTTCCAAGCTTCTAGAACTCTGTTAGAGAAGAAGAACATTGGTGTGTCCAGTCTGGCCCCTGTCACACGTAGTTTGAATGGATGGCCTCGTAGGTTTGCGGTGGTTGCTAACTCGAAGAAGTCCCCCGGTACGAGGCTGCAGTCCTGACCGCGTATGATACGGAAGACTTGTATTAGGTCACCCCGTAACTGCCTGTAACTCAAGGAAAGAGATCAAGGTTAGCTAACCGCGTTGCATGTGATAGTGAACCCTGTCCTGCCACAAGTTTCGTTACACGCCTTTAAAGCCTTTCAAGGATGCTGAGGTCCTTCGCGGTCCAGGGTCTTCAAGCTTGGATAGCAAATTCTAGTTGCGGCCGCACAAACGTTCGAAAGACTTTAGCGAAGCAGTCTTCATCAAAGGCAGAGAAAGCCCGCTTGACAAGGTAGAGGACTGACATTGCAGATTTGGCTATCTTCGTGCAGTGCAGCGAGGGTTGAACGAGGTCGTAATCCATACTCCCAAGTCCTTCTGCGAGTTCACTACTTGCAGCGGTATACCGTTCAGGCAGTAGGCCATATGGTTCGGAGAGCGAGCTCTGCCGACTCGTAGAATATTGCACTTTTTCTCATTGAACGGCAGAAGCCAGTCCTTTGACGACGGTTAGAGTCGGTTTAGGTTCGCCTGCAAATGCTGTTCGTCATTTTTGGACCCTCATCGAAGTTGTAGTCGGGAGGAGTAAATGCACTTTTGCTAGTAAAGATGGATTTGAAAAATTGCGAAAAGTGTTCCTGCTTTTTATCCATCCTCACTAATCTCTACGCCTCCGCTTGTCTTCAGGAGGGGGACTGGATCTCTGTTTCGTGTGCTGCTTCTTATGTGGCTGTAGAATAACTTCGGATTTTCCAAAGCACGATTCAATAGGTCTTTTTCAAAATTTCGCCATGTCCTGAGGGAAAGTCGCTTGACTAAGTTCCTCTGTGTTTTGTATGCGTTTATGAATACAGGGTTAGCATAAGTAAGAGATTTCTGCCACAATGTTCGCTTTTTATTTAATTCCCTTTTTAACGCCTGGGTCAGCCACCGGGGTCGATTGTTTAGCTCTTTCCGTGAAAGCGGGCAGTGGTTTGTCAGGAGAACACGCAATAATTCCCTGAACCATTTCCAATCCTCCGCTATATTTCCAAAAAACGCTGATTCCCAGTCTGTCTTGTTGATTTCGGCATTCATTTGATCGAAGTCCCCGCTCCAAACATTTCTTCTAATTTTGATGGGCTGTTCAGGCACGGAGAAGATTGACTAGTCCCATTGAAGTAGGGCGTGATCGCTTCGACCTAGGGGAGGCAGACATTGCACCTCGTCTATGCTGCCCATCGATTTCGTGAGCACCAGGTCCAAGCAGTTTGACTGCTGCCCCTCACGCAGCCTCGTGGGAAAGAGGACGTGCAAAGTGAGAAATGACGTGAGTGCCATGTCCAAGAAGCGTCGGTAGAAAGCTAGTTCTGGGCCGCGCGCGTATAGTGAACTCCAGTCAATGAGCGGTGCATTGAAGTCGCCCATGATCAGGACGTCAGGACGGAGAGCAAATCGTCCTAGCTCCTCTAACAGACGAGCGTCAGACTCGGGGTCACTCCTCGGTGGTCGACAGACGGTCAGAACTTCAAGGCTATGTGATCCTGGTACCCTCATATTGAGCCAGATAGTCTCGGCGCCGCATGCAAACTGTTCTGTTTTTTCTGACCCAGGCAGGCCGTGTTTTACGTTCGTAACGACTCCTTCCTGACGCTCTCTCCTGTCTGTTCGAAACAACTGGAATACTGGTAGCATTAATTCGCGGTCATCCACGTTTTCAGACAGCCAGGTTTCTGTCAAAGAGACAACGTCAGGCGAAAGATTACAGATGTGGATCTTCAGTTCGTCTAACTTGGGCAGTATACTTTGTACGTTAGTGCAAAAAATGTTAGTTTCACAGTTTTGGGGCGCTTGCTTATGGTACCGCTTGAGATCCCATTTAAGGAACCCATTGTGCCCTCATTCGGATGGGTTCGGTCCAACGGATTGGGGGAGGGCGCTGCACTATCTGGTCTTTGTAGATCACGAGATTCGCCTCGCCATTCTGCAACCTTGTTCTCAGTTCCAGAAGTAATTGTCGACGTTTTATTCTCTCTGACGTTGTGTAGTCCGGCCGAAAAAAAAACGCGGCGGTTTGGTGTCCTTGATTCGGAATCGTCGTGAGAGAATAAGTCCTACTTGTTCTTGGTTGGCTAACACAATTTTGAGTGTTTGGGGACGTGAATGCTCCGATATGTCGATTGAGCGCTTTCCAAGCCTAAAGGCCTTGAGAACCGAAACTTCCTCATTGGAGCGCAGAAGTTCGTTGATTAGGCATTGGAAGAGTTGCAGGTCTGCCGAGACCCGCTCTTTTGAGGCACTAGCTGTGGATTCGGGAAGTCTCTGAATGCAGACATCGCCCTCTGACCAGCGACTCTCTCGAGAACACAGTGGTTTCGTGCCCCGACAAAGGCAATATGTGGCTGTCATGCTCTGACGATGATATAAGCCGCAGTCGATTAAGATCCCCATTCGTCTCTGTTTTGTTTGCAGTTTCATCAAAGTCGGAAGTTTTTTGCGAGAGGTTGAGGGTTTTTGGACCCATGCCATTTCCCGTGATGGGCGACACGGTCGCCGACTTCCTCGGTTCTGGTTCTTCGGAGGAATTCCTCGGAATCTGCTGTCCATGTCCTTCGACCTCTTTGCTGCACGATTTCTTTTTTCCTCCGTTTTTTTTCGTTGATTCGCTGTTTGTTGTCGTTTTGTATTTTATGTGTTTGTGCTGGGTATACCGTGACAGCTGCAGAAGGTCTTGATGGCGTGCCTTTTGTGCGACGTCCTTTGGCCCTACTTCTACTTATTCGTCCAACAGGTGCGTTCGCATCGTCAAGTGTGTCTAGTCTACATTGTACAAGAATTTTCAACTTTTCCATCTCTTCCTCAAGGCGGTTGATTTTGCCGGCCAATATCTGGCATCCACTGCAAAATCAATCGGTATGCAGCATGCATTTACTATCAATAAACTTTGCGACATCGCTCGCCGCGGTGCTGAGGTGGCCGAGGGATTAGCGTGCGCTACTGAAATGTCGATGGTCGGTGGATTGAGCCGGTCATGCAGCGTATTATTTTGGGAGGCTGCGCAAATCTTCAGTATGTAGTGGACTTATGAAAAACGGGAAAATCTGCAGGAATAACAGGCTTTTTTCTACGGCACAACTGTAGACAGTGTCTACGCTTATGCTGGGTACGCCGAAAATTCTCAGGGAACGCTTTTTTCAGGTAAATCTATGTTTGGTAAAGTGAGACAACTCAAGTTGTCTGAATTTAAGCAGCACAGCAAGCAGTGTAGAAATATCGACATAGCCTTTTCGTAGATGTTGTCCCAAACTTCGGCGGGCAGTTGGAGACGATATATTGGATGAGTAGGCCCTGTAGACAAGCCGAGATTTCCGACAGAAAGACCGTTTTTGCTGAAGTTTGTTCTGATCGAACGATAAGAGTATCGATGGTGCTAGGTAGAGGATCGTAGTCAAAAACGCGTTTTATAATCCACTTTTTGATGAACAACAGTCGTTTTCAGTGAATAGACTCGGTTGAAAATCTTCCTTCTTACAACTCAACATTCAAACCGCGCGCGTACTAATGTCCAAAATTTAAGCATTTGGGGTCATCCGCTTAAATAAAACATTGAGAATGTTTAACTGCTGACGAAATGTCATTAATGTAAAGCAAAAACAAAAGAGAACCTAGAACGGTACCCCTGAGGGCACCATTTACAATAGGGGTCGCATTGAAAAATGAGGTTCCCGCTAAAACATTTTGCCTAAGACTGGACAGGCATAAGTGCATAATGTAAATGAGGGGACTTTGATGTCGAAGAGCTTGTGTGTGACACCTTATCAAAGGCTTTACTAGGATTAAAATAAATAACGACCACACATAAACGATCATTACGAAGAAAAGTAACTGGATTGAGAAACGACATATGACACATTGCACGAGAGTAACCAGGTAAAATGCCATGTTGGGAAGGGCTGATAACTGTATTGGCTATGCGAAAGTCAGTAATTTTTTTGGCAACAACTTTTGCAAAGATTATGGCGAGAGAAGGTGTTTTGTGGACACCTTGGTCGTCTAGAACATCGAAACGACAGCCTGATTCAAATACTGGAAGACTAATGGGAATTCGCCAATAGTAGGAAGTTAACCACTCTAGCGAACGACTGAAAACAATTTGCTGGGAAGAGGAGAATTATCTCTTAGCTGCTTAATAAGGGAGTTCGGGATGTTGTCACTCCTTACTGAGTGTGAATTTGTAGGCTGGTTTATTAGGTTCTGAATATTCACAGGAGAAGAATTAATGGTGGAGAGGGAAGCATCGGATGATGGAGAAATTAAAGGGATGAGGTCAGTTTCAGTGGCAACGTACTGGGCGAAGAATGAACTTTACAGTTTTACTTTATCCGAATCCCCTGTAATGAGGACATTGTTGCAACTAAGCAAAGACTAATTGACTTGATGGGACCTAACTGAAGGCCTTGGATGAAAGACATGAGTAGTAGATTTAGAAGGGTTCCCACCACTAGTAGCTGAAGACTCTCTACGCCTATCTCTCGGGCACGTCATTTTCGTAGCTAATTCAAATATGTAAACGACAGTAGAATAAAGAGTATTTGACCTAACCAACTTCAGTGAAGTGAAATCGAGAAGATCGTAAGTTGGGCACAGCAATTAGTCGGCCAAAAGTTTAAATCCTTATTTTACAAAATTTTGTGCCAGTCATGGGTGCTCGCAATGTTATTTACAAATTCCTTGCCGACATTAGCAAAGTCAAGTCAGGTACGCTTTACCGATGACCTTGCGAAAGTGGAAACTGGAGGACGACAATTAATTAGTTCATGATCACTTGTATAAAGGTCACGACGTTTCAGAACGGATCTTCGGAAATTCCAGTTGTGGGACTGAGAAGGCCAGGACTAGGAAGGATGAGGCGACTGGCAAATTACTCAACTCATTTGCATTTTATTGAATTACATATTTTAAAAATTATCTTGCCTACAATGACAGTTTTACTGTCACTCAAAGGATATGTATAATGGAGAAAATGATCAGAAGAAAAGAATGCTTAGGAATAAATGCGGCTACGAATAAGATATTTTGAGTTACCAATGAGCTGGGCTATTTTTTTGGACATGAATTTACTTATATTCAGTTGTTGGGTCTCGATGAATTTCGTAGCATGTACTCACGGTATCAAAGCACACAATAATCATGCTGTTTACTTACGGCCTAGCGATACTTACACGGAGAACTAAAGCTCATGAATTACGACACAGTTTTAAGAAAAATAGTCGACTGATGACCACATAAAACGGAATTACTAGCTATTCGTGAGTCCTGAAAGTTCCAACTCTACCTACTTGTCGGACTTCGTTTAAGCGAACCTCTGACGGAGGCGCGTGTCTTGGAGACTTGTCGTTTATACTTTTTCAGTCACTCGTCCTTGTAGTGCGTGGCAGGTATCATATCCTGCCCTTACCGGTGATTTTGCCGCTTTTTTGGACGAAGTTGAAAATACTTGTTGTTGCTTCGAAAATTGAACGTTATCTCACGTAGTTGAACTGCGTAATAAATTCATTGAGGCGTCTGCACATTTTTTGAAAGTCCCAACACTAAAAGGGTTAACAGGTTATATTTCGGACCTCAAAGTCCCTTTTAGTATCACCTCGACCAAAATTGTTTTTATTTCTTTCGTATACTTCGCTTTTTGTGTTTACATATACCATTGAGCTGTCAGTTCTGTCCCTGGCAGAACAGTTTGAAAAACTGGGCCTCTTCCCTCTCCGACAGGCCTTAATCTCCTATTTGTTATTCACAAAGTCTAAGGAGCTGGTTTTGCAGCTGGTTTACTTGCTTGCTACCTTCCATTATGTATAATAACATACGGACCTGATAGCATTTTGGCGCCCAGGTGTAGACATTTGCTAGACGCTTCGGTTTCCGGGCTGGTCTAGGGTGAGTAATCTAATTAGCGTCGGTGCGTAGCCTTCGCGTGAAAATAATCCATTTTGCCACGCTCTCCCTGACGTTTACCCCCATGAATTTCACGCGTCAGGTCCGGCACGCACCTCCATGACACTCCAATATCTCGCTTTTAGATACTACCCTCCAGTAAGAGTGAGCGTGTATAATCGATTTCTTATAGGGAACCGGGACTTCCCGACTTGAGTGGCTTGACAAGGCACTCGACCTCAACCACGCACAGCACACCTGATGCACGCCTGCGAACCCAAACTCTATGAGGCGAGATGGGAGACGAAACTGGTGCACGTGTGCAGAGGTGCTAGCCGTCGATCTGGTGCAACGCGTGCAATCGATGCTTATGTGCGTGCGTGTGTGAGATGCCATCGAAGCTTGGGCGCTG